CCGTGCACCTTGGAGGGTGCCTACGAGCCTGGCGCCGCACCTGCCGCCGCCGGGGGCGCAGACTTCGCCTTTCTGGGGCCCGGGCCCGCGTACGACTTTCCGTGCGCGCTGGGGCGGCCGGCAGACGACCGCGGGGCGCACGTCCACTACGCCACCTCGGCCGTCTTCTCGGGCGCCAGCTCCTTGCTTCTCAGCGGCCAGGTGGATTACACGGCCTTTGGCGAGCCCGGCCCCTTCCCGGCGTGTCTCAAAGAGCCCGCCGACGGCCACTCCGAGGCCTTCCAAACCGCGTCCCCCGCCCCTGGCGCCTACCCCAAGTCCGCCTCCCCCGCCTCCGGCCTCCCCGCGGGTTTCAGCACGTTCGAGTGGATGAAAGTGAAGAGGAACGCCCCTAAGAAAAGTGAGTACTTGAGTTTTGGACGGACGCTCCTGGGGCTGGGAACAGAGCCTCCTCCGCGGACTTGCGCGAGGGGCACCTTGCAGCCGTTCCTCTAGTCTAGACAGAGGTTTGGGTCCTATGGGGGAAACGCGTTCCGAGGTGTTATTAAAGCAGGCGAATCCCAAAGAGCGTGCCCCAAACGCACGCTCCCAAAGTGCGCCAGGCATGGAGAAAACTGCAGGAAGGGGCTTTCTCCGTGGAGCGTTTGTCCAGGCCCGAGGAGAAACCGAGGAAGGCTGCCGTGTGCCTTCGATCCTAACTGTAGCCCCACCGCTCACCCGTGTTGCGTCTCGGCCGCCTCTCGCCCCACTGACTGACTGTCTTTCTGTTGCAGGCAGACCCGCGGAGTATGGAGCCGCGAGCCCCCCCAGCGCCATCCGCACGAATTTCAGCACCAAGCAACTGACAGAACTGGAGAAGGAGTTTCATTTTAATAAGTACTTAACTCGAGCCCGACGAATCGAGATAGCCAACTCCTTGCAGCTGAATGACACCCAAGTCAAAATCTGGTTCCAGAACCGCAGGATGAAACAAAAGAAAAGGGAAAGAGAAGGACTTTTACCCTCCGCCACCCATGTGGCTTCCCTCCAACTTACCCTCTCAGGCAAGAACCCAGGGAGCCCTTCTCAGGCCCAAGAGCCCTCCTGAGCTTTAGTGTTGAGGTTGAGGAAACTTGGCCTGCAGAAGTCATAGGCTGACCCACCCCTATCTAGACCGACTAGCTCAGTTTGGGGTGGAGGTGGGCCTGGGCAGAAATAGAGGTTTCACTTGGGAACGGAAGTATCTTAGTGCACTTCTGAGTTCCAGGCTGTGGGTGTACAGATATTAATTTGAGGTCTTTTAAGCCACTCATATGTGTATTATCGGTGTCTTATCAGGGAAAAGGTGCCCAGCTGCCAGCCCAACCCTGCTGCTATGTTGCCTTAGTCATATGCAATTCCTGGGTGCAGAGTGGCAGTGCATTAGTTGCAGAGCTCTGCCAATGCCCTGATATGCTCAAGAGAGCATCTATCCAAAGTTTTTTTTGGTTTTAATTTAAAGTACAAAGCTACGTGTATTCAGCTTCTTGAGATGACCAGAGCTAGTTAGGGCCTCCTTGATGTGGCTAAGCTGCTTCAATGATGATGTTCACATTTGCACTCCAGTTTTGTTTTTCTTTAAGAAGCAGTTTCTACCTCTCCGTGTGCCTGAGTGAAGATACAATCACTGTTTAGTTAGTAGCTGAACAAATCCACAAGGTGGGTAAAGATTAGAACCTGAACTACACCTTGATACCAGTTACTCAAACTTGAATGTAAATGTATACAGTATGTATATTTTTAAAAAGGTTTGCTTGAAATGAACATATATGACATTTAATGTCATAGCATGTAAAAGGTTAGAACTTTTTTTATAATAAAAATTACAGAATATGTTACTCTCTGCTTTTCCTTACTCTCATTTTGATTTTCTTTCAAGCTGATTCAATTTCTCCTATTTGGAATTTCTAGATTCTGTTATGGGAATTTGTTTAGGTTGATAACTTTAAAAAATAACACTTCTTACAGGTTGTGTACACAAACAAGTTAGGGACAATTATCTGAGGAGTTTAAAGGGGAAAAAACTACTCTGCCAAATATCTGAGTAACCTAGGAATTGCTTCCTTACCTTAAATGCCCTAGTTTTATGGCAAATATGTAGACTGCACTTATAGATTAGGTGCTCACCCTGGGAATGTTGTGGATCCAGGGAGATACCGCAGGGAGAGGTTGTTCTTTTGTCCCCTGGTCTTACAAAAGGAAGAGGAAGGGTGACCTGAAGACTTCTCTAGTTGATTAGTGTTCTCTGAGAAAGGCAACTGCTCATCAGAAGTTCTCAATGGCTAAATTCCCATTTCCAAAGTCAGGTATTATAAGAGGCAGGGAGAGGCCAATAGTCAGAGCTTTCCAGTTCCTGTAACCCAGACTGAGCATCTGGCCTTATAAGAGATAGCACAGAGGTGCCTTTCCGTTTTTGAAATTAAATACTTTCAAATTAAGTCATAGGAAGTAGAAGCACACAGTTTGAAAGTTGGCATGAGGGTATGTGGTAAAAAACCTCTCCCCTAACCTTATTTCCACCCAGCTCCCCAGTTCCCAATCTTGAAGGCACCTGTGGTTGACCAACCTTTTATGTAACCTTACAGAAATTTTATTTGAAAAAATCGAATGTCCATACACAAAATCAAGTAGATACTTGGGACAATTGTCAGGGCAGGTCATTTTCCTTACTATATAGATAGCTATAGCTGTATCTTTAAGATCTCTGTATAGTTCAACTGAAAGGCTTGAAGTTCCAAATAATCCAGATAAGAGGCTTAGCTCTTTCTTTTTAGCTAGGGTTTCTAGATTCTAGAGTAGTGCCTCAAATCCAATAATTCAGAGGTCTAATGATTGTGGAGGATTACTTTCCTTATAAAACAGTAATGTGATTAATTGTCCTAGAAGATTGAAATTATAATGAAATTCCTGTCCTTTGCACTTATTGCACTTATAGCCTAATGGAGTTGAAGAAATAAAATTATCAGTTCTAACAAACTCAACTGATAAGGGGGGAAAGATATCACTTAAAAAGCAGGTCTGTCAATATTATTCTTGTGTTTTGCCATCTGCCCTTCACCCCTTCACTAACTTGATGCTAATCAGACCTTGTTTGAAACAACAGCCTCCCCTCTGAGCTGTGTAGCTATTTGAAAGTATTTGTTAAAGGAGTTGTGATCAGCTTGTTACAGCCACCTCGGGGCTTCCCCTGCAGTGGTCTTTGACAAGACAATGTTTCCTTTTTGATAAGCATTCAGATGTACACCTAAACAAAAAAATATCAACACACTGGGTCGTTTCCTTAATCTACCACCCTTTTCTTTGAGAAAATAAAGCTTTTTTTTTTTTAAGCTACTACTAGGACTTAGCCCTGATGGATGTCTTTCTTGATGAAGGTGGCTATTTTGACATATGTATAATGCTGTTCTATGAATCAGGCCAATATTAGCTATTTTTGCTCAACCCCAGGGGCCTTTAAAAGCTTTCTTAATGCAGCTCACTAAATAACTATATTCAATATTAGGGAGAGTCCTGGCTGAAGATCGGGACTAACTTGATGACCTCTGGAGGTCTCTTTCAGCATGAAAATGCTACAGAACCAATTGAATGACTTCTGCATATTTTATTTTAGGCCTGTCATTGGAAGAAAGAGAATTCAGTTCTAAGAGAGCAAATGCTGTCCCCAGAATTATGATGATACTGTGTTTATACAGTAAAAGTGGATTTTAGAAATTGTCAACTACATCTCATCAGTAGAGGTAACTAGCCCATGTGGATTGTTTATAGAAAGTCCCCTTCTCATTATTCAGAATCTTGTGTTATTTTGAGTCAGATCTTCCATGAAGTGTGTTGGTTACTCAAATTACACAACTGCTAAAACAATTCCATTTCTATTTAACAAGATCTCAAACTAAACATGCTAATTCACCCTCCAGTGACCCATTACAGGAATGAATACACAATGGGCAGTTCTAGCTGTTGTATAATTAACTATTCAAAGTTCCTTTGTCTTCAAAGAATGACCGTGTGTCTGTTTTTCTGGATCCAGGATAGTTGGGAGTGAGGAAAAAGAAATAAAGCATTTAATAGCATATAAATCTTCCATTACTTGAGTACTAACAAATGAAGGTCTTGCCGATGTAAAAACCTAAAGCAATGTCACCTAGATTCTCAAAAGATTAATTGTATGTGATTTATTCTGCCTCACTCTCATATATAGCAAGGCCCAAGACCAGGAGAGGCTATGTCCAATTAGCATGTCATTAGAAAGGAGGGGCAGGGTCAGGAGAGTTGCATTAGCTCTGATGTTCTTAATTATTTCTTATGGCCAAACAAATGCTCTATATTTGCTGAATATTGAATTTGAAAACCTCAGGACCTAATCAGTTTCAGAGAGATGTTTAGACTGACCACAGACCTCTCAACAAGAAAAATGCCCATTGTTAAAACTTTATTTGTGGTTTTAAAGTGAAACCATACTAGACGTATCTCACAAATAATGATAAATCTCCATCTAAATAGAAATCAAGATTTTCATGGTTTTGACTTCTATAGTGTATTTCTGTGGCATGAACATGCAACAAATATATAAAATAGTTCTGTTTAACATCTAACTTGTATTTGCTTAAGTTATACTTGCTATTCAGAAATATGATCTCAATAGAAACTGTTTAGCTAAATTCCATAATGAACTAAGAGGAAAGAAATCCTAAATACTGATATGAAAGGGAATTTTATTACTTAGATTATAAAGATTTAAACATTTTCTCTTTCTAATAGTGTCATTAATATAATTTGGAAAGGATGGCCAAAGAGTGGACATTTGGACTTATAATAGCCAGTAAAGCAGGTCACTGACACTTTGAGGCATTTCTAGAGGGCGCTAGACTATTTAGCACATCTCATCGTTAGGGGTTGTGTAGAAGCTAAACTACAATTTGAGGGGTCCTCTTTAAGAAAAAAAATACAAAACTATAAATACAGAATTGCTAGGGCACCTCGCAGGAGGCTATAGAAGTGCCCAAGCTAGGGAAGCTTAAGTTTCTTTGGGTTCATGGTAAATTCATCTCTGCCCCTTCCTGAAACCACTGTTCCATGCCCGCTACCCAGCCATTACCTGTAAGGTGGGAACAATGATTGCTTTCCTCCAACATCTTGGAGCCAGAATTACTGTCTGATCTTCTTCAAGTGCATTCAAAATAGATACTATGGACAAAGGTAGGTCGGGGCTTTGCACAACCTGAGCATCTCAGTCCCACTCTGCTTTGGGCCACTGGCTGGCTGAGTTACTTCGCTGCCTTGGACTGGGAGCCCTCTCATCCTGGGGGACTTTTCTGTGTTGCCTTCTCCATGATACAAGCAGAAGAGACATATAGGGCTGGAGAGCCCGCAGCTACTCTCTTAGCTTCTAAGAATTTCTCAGAAGGATGGAATCACTGAGGCTGAGGTAAAGGACTATGTAAAAAAGAATATTTTTTTTTAAGGGAGGAAACCTGGATTTTAGCACCAGTTGTATTTTCTGATTAAAAGGGAAAATAACTTCCCTGGTCTGAGTTTCTCCTGTAAAAACGACTGTTAATGGGGTAATATCTGAGACCTTTAAAATTTCATCTCTCTAGCTTTAGGATTTATATGTTTGTGTTTGTATATGTTTCTCCTTGGTTTTGACTTGATGAACAAAAAACTCTAACAAAGCTCATTGCCCCCTCAACCCAAAGTTACCGCTTCCCTTTGAACAGATAAATTAGGGTCTAATAAGAAACTTTTCAAATAGGCGTCAGCACTTCCCGTTCAGATTCTCAATCTCCGTGTCTTTAATTCCATACTTCAAAGTCGGCTACATTCAGAATAGAGAAATAATTTGGATTTTTCTTCCTTAATTAAGATATATGGGATTGCAAAGTAAATGCTCTCTTCCGTTGAGGAAAAGAGATAAGAGCAACCAGATCATTCCTCCTTTCCGAAGTGCTGTCCTTTTTCCTTCTTGGTCCCTCCAGCTTTATCGCCTCTGACACACAGTGGGTGCCTCACGGTCCCCTGCCGCTAGGGCCCTGCCCAGCCGGCCCATTGTAAAGCCCTGTCCTCACCATG